AAAACTCGTCACCTCAGTCGGTGCAGCACATGGTTTACAGCTTGTGATCATACCTGTTTTCAACGAGTCTTTTGAACTTCTTGAACGCACATAATGCCTCTCTTTTTTTCTTTGAGCATATACACCCACATCCAATGAATATAATCGTCAACAAGTAAGAGAAACTACTTGTTACCGGCAATCAATGATAGGGTGATGGGGCCACACAAATCTGCATGAACCAGTTGCAGTGGTCGCTCAGTATGGAAACTGGTTTGAGCTGGGAACAACAATCTTGTTGTTGGAAGACTAGGCAACTTTCACATAGTTGGTTTGAGTGTATAATTTTGGGTAGCCCCGTAGTCATCTTCTTCTCCACCATCATTTTGAGTGTCTGAAAGTTCACGTGCCCTAGTCTTGCAAGCCATAGCCAAGCTGGGTCTGCAAGTGCTGTCAATAGGGAGGTGGGATGACTGGACTACAATAGTATCTAGTACAGATGGTTATGCGACCGTTTTACCTTCATTAACAAGGTTCCATTTCTGTCGAGCGTCTTGAGAAATAAGCCAGCTAACTCCACTCTGCTTCATTCTTCGGTCATCTGACCAAGATTGATAATGTTACTCTTCAAGTTTGGATATAGTATACCTTGGTCAGTAAACTTTAGTCACCATTCTTGCATTGAAACAAGATGGATCTTTTGCCTTGGATCCGTACGAATAATCCATCACCAAACTTCATGTTTTCAATGACCTCCTTATCAAGCTTCTTAAACTTTGTTTGAACTCCGATCATGTGGTTGTTTCCTCCGTTGTCAAGGTATCACATGTTGGTCTCCACTCGGTCTTCTCATTTTGTGAGAAGGTTTGCCATAACCTTTTCTTCGTTGAGCATCAACAGTTAGGGCATCTTCTCGGTTAACATTAGTGCGGCCTCTTGATCTTGTGTGAGTGTGAGGTTTGCCTCCTCATCTCACTTCTTCTTGCAACACTCTACCGCATAGTGCCCATATTTTCCACAAGAGTAACACTGGATCATACTCTTGTCCTTTCAAGGATTGACATTGTCATGAGTTTTGTGAGGTATTATCACGACCTCCTACACCACCACGTCCACGACCTTGTTTTTCTTGTTATGGCTACTACGTCCCCTCGTACTTGAAAAAGAAGACTCGGCTGCATCATTGTTTTTCGTCAATACGAGCCACTTCTCATGTATGAGTAAGAGGTGTCTTTACTCCTCTTTATCTTCATAGTCCTGTATTCGCTCCTATAGTTACTCCATTAATAGCTTACTCTATTAAGTCTACTAACAATTCTCCTAAAAATGGAAGAATAAATTATAACTTGTTTAACTACCTCAAGTGCATTCATCTCTCCACTTGGGTTCAAATATATGATAAACAATTGCAGCCATTTCGAGAAAGATCAGTACAAGAACGAATCAATGAAGAAGAGAAATGCGGACCCACCACTTACGTAATGGCTTACGAAACCATTAGCTTCCACCCGAAGAAAGTCATACAATCACTGACCTTTTAAATTATTTATACTAATCTTTCCTTCACATAAGCTTTGAAGAGAAAAAGATGGCTGAAGAAGAAGTACAAGTGTTTGGCTTCCGGTCAGGCCCCTTCAGCCTCAGAGTGGAGTTGGCTCTCAAACTCAAAGCCGTGGATTACCAACACATTGAAGAAGATTTGCTTAACAACAAAAGTGATTTGCTTCTCAAATACAACCCAATCTACAAGAAGGTGCCTGTTCTTGTGCACAATGGCAACCCCATTTCGGAGTCACTCGTCATCCTTGAGTACATCGAACATAACTGGACGCACAATCCCATCTTCCCCGCACATCCCTACGATCGAGCTCTCGCCAGGTTTTGGGCCAAATTCATCGATGACACGGTAATGTTTCTATGTTTTGGGGCATGTTTTGGTAAAAGATATTCTCTTATTTTTTGGATTTAGTTCGTAATATTGTATTTAAAAGTAGTTGTGAACATGGATGAAAATAAGACTTTAGATTCTACTGAGATCGTTCTCATTCTTAACATACTAGTAGAGATTTTGTTTTTGGATTCCAGGTTGTGCCTGCGGTGCATAAAATTTCTGGAAGCACAGAAGAAGAGAGAGAGAAAGCCATAGAAGAAGCTCAGAAGACCTTGGAACCATTAGAGAATGAGCTTGGAAACAAGAAGTTCTTCGGAGGAGAGGAAATTGGGTTGGTGGACATTGTAGGACTTATTTTGGCCGGGTGGATTCCTGCCATTGAAGAAGCTTTAGGATTTGAGCTGCTCAATACCCACAAGCTTCCAAACCTGAAAAAATGGACTGAAGAGTTCGTGAACCACCGTGTGGCCAAGCAGGTTATGCCTCAAAAGGATGCTCTTGTTGCCTTTCTAAAAAATGTTGTGCTGAATCGAAAAAATTAGGAGATGAAATCAAAGTTCATATTTTGTGTTATGCTATCACAAATAAATTCAGTTTTTTTTCTTTTTCTTTTTTATGTAATAAATTAAATAAAAGTGGTCTTGAATATATTTTTGGTTAAATTATAAAATATAATTTTATTGTCAAACTTGATTGAAACTGATTATGAAGTTTGTATTAAATATTTTTTTAAACTTTATAAAAATTCAGAGGCAATATTGTTTTAAATTAAAGACGTCATGTTCTTTTTTATAATATCTTTCCGTAAGGACGGTGCCTATTTTCTTAACGTGGTGATACGTGGCATGACTGGTAAAGCCACGTGGGTGTGTGGGAGAAGTTCTGTTTAATTTAAACGGGCGGTTTATCAAATCGTTTCCAATGACAAGTAGCTTCATGACGTCAAAGCAAGCTTGGTGGAAATGAAAGTCCCACTCGGTTAATTTAGGAAATGGTCATGAGTTTATAATCTAAGAATACACAGTCATGCCCTAAACTTAGCCGTGCCAATAGATTGTTGGGGAAGCCCAAAGCAAAGCGGGTTTATAATCTAAGAATACACAGTCATGCCCTAAACTTAGCCGTGCCAATAAATTGGCAAATCGATATTGTCCACTTTGAGCTCTAAGAATAGAGTGAGGCCTTTTGGGGAAGCCCAAAGCAAAGCGGGTTTATAATCTAAGAATACACAGTCATGCCCTAAACTAAACTACTTAGCCGTGCCAATAGATTGGCAAATCCTCGAATGTCGAACAAAGGACTCTCCACAATGGTATGATATTGTCCACTTTGAGCTCTAAGAATAGAGTGAGGCCTTTTGGGGAAGCCCAACCCAAAGCAAAGCGGGTTTATAATCTAAGAATACACAGTCATGCCCTAAACTTAGGGGTGCCAATAGATTGGCAAATTCTTGAATGTCGAACAAAGGACTCTCCACAATGGTATGATATTGTCCACTTTGAGCATAAGCTTTGCTCTGGGCTTCCCCAAAAGGCCTCACTCCAATGGAGTGTATTCTTAGATTATAAACTCATGACCATTTCCTAAATTAACCGATGTGGGACTTTCATCATCCAACAGAAGGAATCATCTCGATCCAAACGACAACAAATCCGAAATAGATCTAAAATAGAAAGATTTCAAAGAAGTCGAGATGATCCTAGTAGACAAGGTTAAGAAAGTAAGAAAACTTCTATAGAGAATTCGAGAATTCCTCGTCAAATGGAACAACCTCCCTCTAGAAGAAACAAGTTGGGAATACACCGAAGGCCACGATCTATATTGCAAAATTTAAATATAGTTGGTTCACAGGGACGTTAACCAATTAGGTGAGAGTGTATTATTAAGATCGCGCAACAACACATACACTCAATCTAGATGAACATAAAGAACAACATAGGAGAAAAAAATGCAAAGCAAGCGCTCTATCATCTGAAGTTATGTATGATTTCAAAATATTATGAAATTATCACACAATTAAAAAAATCATCCTAACTAAAATAGAAATATGGTTATATTAAAATTTTAATAATATGCACAAAAATCACAAAAGCTAAATGAGGAGGATGAATCGCAGGTGAACATATCTCAAGCACTAAGTGGACGAACGTGGTAGACTGAGAGAACGACATGCATCCAGCGATGGGTGGAAATAAGAGTGCGACAAACATCCGTTAATGACAGGGGAAGTACATCTTGCGGACAACGCTCCATATGTCATTATCGTACTTTTTCAACCATGTGACATTGCGATCTTGACATACTCACGATAAGCTCTAAAGAGAACCCAAGCATATATATTTTTTGCCTAGCTTTTTGGCTTCGTCAGATCTTAGGTGTGGTTTGTCTTCACCATCCAAATATCACTTGTGCAGGATCGAAGCTTGTTTGGCCACACACGCCACATGCGCGTGCATGTTCAATCATTTATGACATAACTTACTAGCCTCTACACTAGGTCAAGTCATTCGACTCGACCTTATCTTTACTTAGGACCAAGGTCTCTCAATGCAACGTCGCATCTAACATCATGTCATCTTGGTTCCCAATCGACATGGCACATATGTTTTGACGTCATCTCAAGTCACAGGGTATCATCGACCATCACAGCTCACTCAGTCATGCCATCGAGAAAGGCCCATGTGTCGTTCATAATCTCGAGACATCCCAAACATCTATCCATATGGGTTCAATCAAGGCATTGTCCCTCATGTTCTTATGTCATGTCATTTACGAATATAGTACCGGATAGCGGGGTAGACCTTCAAAATCATGCAATCGACCTGCCCACATAAACCTGCCTCTCTACCAACTAAACAAGCGACATCTCAAAGTCAAAGACAAACCCATTTTGAATACCCACGTTGATGTCGCATGGGCTTACGACACAAATCAGCGTTTGAAGTAGAATACTCCTTTAGGAGCTGCTATAAAAAGAATAGAAGAAAGAGGAAATGGCAGAGGAAAGGTGAAATGGGAGAAAAAGTGGAGGTGTTTGGGGCATGGTTCAGTCCTTTCAGCCGACGAGTAGAATTGGCTCTGAAACTAAAGGGTATTCAATATGATTACATTGAAGAACAAATATACAAGAAGAAGAGCGATTTGATTCTAAAATATAACCCTGTTTACAAGAAGGTGCCCACCTTCGTCCATGCCGGCAAGCCCATTGCAGAGTCCATTGTTATCCTTCAGTACATTGACGAGACTTGGAAGGAAAACCCCCTTTTGCCTCACGATCCCTATCAAAAAGCTCTGGCTCTGTTCTGGGCCAACTTCATGGATGACAAGGTAAGCACTTTTGATATATATGTGTGTGTGTGTGTATATCAGGTGGTTGATATCATTTGGGTTTCTATTTTTGTGGATTCACAGCTGCTGCAAGCATTGATGAAGGCGAGGAGAAGGCAGGGGAAGGAGAAAGAAGAGGCAGTGGCAGAGGCAGGTGAGGCATTGAGAGCATTAGAAGAAGAGCTGAAAGGGAAGAAGTTCTTCGGAGGAGAAACGTTGGGATTTGTGGACATTGTTGCTAACTTCATAGCTTATTGGACTCCAGCCATGGAAGAGGCTTTGGGAGAGGAAGTACTAACCAGTGAATTGCAGCAGCTTCCGAGGCTACGTCAATGGTGCCATGACTTCGTTGAACATAGCGTCGTGAAACAGACTCTGTCCCCTAAAACTGAACTCCTCGAGTTCATGTCAACTCAGTTTTGAACTAAATCAACATGAATGCTTATGTTGGATATGCCCGAAGATCGTAATATGTAGAAATAACTTAAAGGTAGAGACCTTTTGGAGCAAAGAAAGCTTATACACTTGTACTTATAATTCTCTTTCTGGTTGTCATCACATGAGTATTTATACAAGAGAAAGAGAAGCACCATTGATCTCCAAACTTTTTCTTCAAATTCCTAAATTTTCTTATCAAGATAAACGACTACTAACCATTCTAATTTTCCTAAACCTATTCAAGCCAATAACTTCTAAACAATTATCTTAAAATTTGTCTAGGTTAATAATTTTTTTTTGCTGAGTTAATAAGTAAGCTTGAGTTTGTTCAAGATTTTTTACTTTGAGCAACTCCCGCATGCATGCAAGGCTTAATCTTTGTTAGAGTCTTGGTGAGAATTTTGGCACGTTGCTCTCGAGTTTCAACTTTGATTGGTATCTGATCAACTTTATCTTCTTTATAAGAAATTTTAAGTTTGCTGCATGCAATTTTTTCCACTCCTCTCTTCGAGGAAAAGAATCATTCATCTTGTAGGGTACTCCTTTGTCCTTCAACCTTCTTTTTAGGTTGGTCTCTAGGTTTCTTTTATTAAGATGACAAGTTCGAAGTCTCATTTCTCTTACGCCTCTGGCCATCTTGGTTAAGATGATAAGTCTGATGAAACACATCGACTTGTAGGTTGCACTTCGCTGATTGAAGCAGCCTCTAGTTGCTTCTTGGATCTATTTTTCGGTTCATTTTTCTCCTAACCCATTGTTTCTTCTTCACTTTCTTGCTGCCAATGTCAATAGATACTTTTGGAAGATGTTGATAGTTTTTCAATAGTATCTTATATAGGCAGTTTCGCGACCATTTTACCTTCATCAACAGGGATCTATTTTGGTCGTATATCTTAAGGAATAGGCCGACTATATCCACTCTGCTACCTTCTTCTGTCATTTGACCAAGGCTAATAATGTTGCTCTTCAAACTCGGGATGTAATACACCTTGGTCAATAGACGTTGATCACCGTTCTTACACTGGAACAAGATAGATCCTTACCTTGTATCGATATAATTGATCCATCGCAAAGCTTCACGTTTCCAATGAACTTCTCATCAAACTCCTTTAACTTTACTCGATCTCCAGTCATGTGATTGTTCGCTCCGTTGTCTAGGTACCACATGCTAGTCTCCACTTGGTCTTCTTCGTCTGTGAAGGAGTTCGCCATAACCTTCTCTTCATTGAGCATCAACAGGTTGGGCATTCCCTTGGCCAACATCAATGTGGGCTCTTCATTCTCCGAGAACATGAGGTTTGCCTCCTCATTGCTCTCCTTGTTGCAGCACTCTGTCGCATAATGCCCGTATTTTCCACAAGAGTATCACTTGATCATACTCTTGTCCTTTTGAGGGTTGACATTTTCATGGGTTTGTGAGATATTGTCACAACCTCCTCTACCACCATGTTCGGGGCCACATCCACGACCTCTTTTTTCTTTGTTATGGCTACCACGTCTGCTCGAACCTGGAAAAAAAGTCATCTGCATCTTGCTTTTTAGTCCGCGCGAGTCACTCCTCATGTGTGAGTAAGAGGTATTTCTCCTTCTCTTTGTTTTCGTAGCCACGAAGTCTCTCCATATGAACCTTAAGACAACCAGCGAGCTCCTCAACCGACATGTTCTTGAGGTCGTCGAACTGGACGATGGAGGTAACAATATGCATGAATCTTGAGGGAACAGCTCAAAGGAACTTCTTGACGACGGAGATATCTTCCATCACATCGCTTAATGATCAGATGCCGCTGACGATCGTCGTCAACTTCATGGAAAAGTCTTCTATTGACTCACTGTCCTTCATGCAGATAGCCTCGAACTCAGTCTTCAAGGTCTACACCTTTGCTTCCTTAACACGTTCCACACCCACATGCATTGTTTGCAGCGTCTCACACGCTGCCTTTGTCGAGTTCTTCTCAGCCAACATGAGAAGGACGTCCTCTAGGACTGGTTGGTAGATGGCGACAAGAGTCATCTTGTCATTATGCTCCTCAACGTCCTCACCATGCTCGATGGCATCCAACCCGCCTTGTGCCTGTAAGTTAACACGCATCTTTATCGACCATGTTGCATAGTTACTCTTCATGAGTAACGACTACTGGAGAGTGTTACACTCCCCTCCCTTCCGCTTCTTATCGTTGTCACATCTCTTCCAACAACTTTGTATGGTGACGACATTTGTTTCCGCATCCTAGTTCTGATACTAAATGTTGGAAATGACCCACGATCAAAATATGTCAAAACAAACAACTTAAGGAGGAAGAACAACTCAAGGGGAGAGACCTTTTGGAACGAAAAAAGCTTAAGCACTTATGCTCATCAATTCTCTATATTATCGTGAAAATAACATACATATCATGAACCATAGAGAAAGAAAATAACATACATATCATGAACAGTGTAGAAAGCACCACCGATCTAAACTTTCTCCAACTACTAACAATTCCTCCCAACTAACCAGTTGCCAATAACTTCTAAACAATTATCCTAAAATTGCTCTGAGTTAATAATAGAAATAAGTAGAAACAAGTGAAAGAAGTAAAGGAACCATTTGAGAGGAGAGATCGGGGTCGAGCTTTGAAACTGTATTTACCGGGGCAGGGCTCATTAATTTAGCTATGAGTCTGGGCTTCTCTTGAGCCATAATCTAAAGCCCAGTGTTTGAACTTGTGCTGTGTGTTTAAAGCAGAAATAATAAAGAAATGGAAGTTGAAAGAGAGGAGGAGACAGACAGTCAAAGTTAAGGAACAAGAATATGCCTAAAACACAGACACAGACACACAGTTGTATAATGCATGGCTAAACGACACTCCCCGACCCTGTCCCGCTAATCAACCTCACATGCTCCCACCACTTTCTTTTCATCTTTCTTTAATCACTAGGGTTTTTTTTTTTTTCTTCTTCTCCTTTTCTTCTTCTACTCATCTCGATCTTGAAACTACAACGACTTATTTAGTAATTTTTTAAATTTATAGTTGTTAAATCTTCCTTTGTTAATTTCGATCTCGAAACTCTAACAAAATATTTAGTTTGTTGGTTAATGAGAGTTTATTAAACTTATAGCAATTAAATCTTCATGAAAGAGTTGTTTAGTTGGTTACTATACGGGTGCGGCATGTTCTTATTGGTATATGCAATAACTTTCAATTCTGTAAAGTTTTTCTTAGTCGTAAGATATAAATGCAATTCTCCTCTTTTATTGGATGTCACATATCAAATCCAGCCAAAAATGTTAGTCAAAGAAATGGAAGAGAAGAACATGTAAATTGAGAGTCAAAACTAACCAATTTTGGTCCCCATGAATAAATAATTTATTTTCCGCATCTTCAAATCCAAAATCAAAGGGCCCAATGCTGTGAGGATGTTCCTAATGCACATAGAACAATAAGTAAGCGTGCTGTGTGAGCCATAATAATGACCACAATCATAGTGCCTCAAATTGACGCCAACAGAGCCCATCCCATCCACTTCTTCTGCGGTGTCGCCGACTCGATCAGCCACCGTGGACGGCGGAGATATGGTGTGAAATTCGAAGGGGAAGATCGGGGGTGAGAGATTGTTGAATTTGGGTGAATTTATGGAACAGTGGAGGAGGGGAGAATATGTGGAAAAGGCAGAGAGGGCGGTGGGGGCGCTGAGGGACAGAGGGGGCCAAGGAGATTTGCGATTGGGGATTTTTGTCGAACAGCTTTGGGGCAATTCCCGCAATTCCCATAACCCATATCTCCCAAGTACATATTCAATATCTTCTTACTCCCATTTTCTCCCGGGTGGGTTCGAGTCTAAGAACGAAATCGACCCATTTGAATTGATCGAAGATTCTAATCATTGATTGGATTACGTCCTTTTCGAAGAAAAATTAATATTAGCATAACTACGTGATGACGGTTGAAAACTGACATCATATCAAATATTATCATAGATGAACTATGATCGATGATCGAGTTCTTGTGGGCGTCGACCCTCTTTGATGGAGTTCTCAAGCTTAATCTCTTTGGTGAAGGTAATGGAGCATAGAGTGTTTGAATTACGCATAGCAAATTAAGCTTTAAGTAAGTTTAAAGGCAAAGGAGAAAAGGAGAAAAGAAGAAAAGAGGAAGACAATGCTTTGATAAAGGAGAAATTATGAGAATGGGTGGCTACCCAAGTAGGGTTGGCCAATCTTAACACTCACTCCAAACACATTAAATCATTACTTCTATGTCAAGCTTCACGAGGCTCTCGAGGGCCACTACTGCCTCTCCTCGACCACTTACGACGCCAATTATGAAATTTAGCAGTTATATGTCAACTTGAGTATAATTTAATTGGATCAAATATTATATTTCTCACTCGAAAGGTAAGGATTTAAATTGTTATATTTTCACTTGATCAAGATTGGTAGGGGTAAAACTACTCTTGCCACCCAATCAAATACGGAAGGACATGTGTCTAAAGCCAAATGTGAAGTACGTCAAGATTGCTCTTGACCTAACATGAAACTCGACTGAGAATGTATGGAACATATTGACAAAACATTCATTGTCTGCTAGGTAAAGACTATCTAAGAACGAGTATTTTCCCTCTAACAGAAATCTCATATCAATAAAGATATTGATAAATCTCAAAAAAAAATTCATATATATATATATTAAATCTGAAAATCCCTTTTTTGATCTCCCACCATGTGGGGTTGGCATTTTGATTATGGGCTTCAATGATGTTCACTCGAGGAATGTCTTTTTCTTCTTTTTCCTTTTTTTTTTAATTTTTTTTTCTG